CACGAAGCAAGGGAAACTACATGTAAATCAAGCTTCTTTCAGCAACCGCCGCTGTGTTCGTTGTAATCGTTACACTTGAGGTAACCATCATCGTCACAGGAAACGTGTTCACCATTTTTTGTTTTCTGGACTCAGAGACTCCGCTTGAAACGAACGTTTCTTCTCCTGATAAACCTCACTGTGGCTGATTCACTTGTAGGACTAAGAGAAGCTCTGGTTCTCGCGGCTTACACAATTCCCAACGGTGGAAACGAAGAAGAGAAAATAGAGAGCCCTTGGTGGACATTCCAAGTATTTGGCAGCAGTACCTCAGTGCTCTTTCTCGTTCTAATTTCGCTGGAACGTGTTTACTCCGTGCTGTGGCAATTTCGTCATCGTGTAACAAGTACTTGTGCTTACGTTTACAGCATTGTTATCGTCTGGGTAACTGGAGTTTGTATGAGTGGAGAGTCGTTGTTGGAGATATATCTCATAGACAACATGTATACTGCTGCACCTACGCTTCGACTCTCTTTGTCCAGTCGCTTTGCATATAAATTTAAGTTGTTTAAAACAGTTTTTTTTTTTTTTTCCAATAGATATCTTTTGCTAAGAGATCTCGTTAACATTTACTAACTGGGTTCTCCTTGCTAGAAACATACCACAGTCAAGTGGGTTAGGGGGTATGCTATGGTAGTTATTAATTCCTGCCTTTTCCTATATACGTTGGTTATCTATGCAAGTTACGATACCATCCGCACTCGCGATTGAGTCCTGCACTGCACATGATCCACAACCGAAACCTTAATTAAGTGGACGGAACTTACGACTTTATCTTTAATTTACGAATAAAAATCTATTTCAGGTAATAAATACTTTTGCTCACGCAATGCATCAAAGGGCTAAAAGTAATGTAAATCCCTCAAGGCTTTTACGTTTATATTGGCATTACACATTTATCTATTAAATATTGGTTCGTTTAAATCCAAATCGCGTTTAGCCTTTTTTTTTTTTTCTGGAAAAAAAAAAAAATGAAATATAGCTTTTACTGTTGTACCGAAATTTTGAACGAGTGGTTGTGAAAATTCTACGTTTAAATCGCCATCGTACATGCCAAGTAATTATTTGAACAGGATAACGTAAAGATGCAACATTTTATACCTTAATGTTTTTAAGCTCATTATGAAAAAAACTGTATAATTTCCGTGATACTTTCATTCTTAATTATACCTTTTTGCGGAGATTACCTTCGGAATAATCGACGTGTATTTACTTACAGCTATCTGTGTCTAAACAAAAGACATCTCAAAAGGCAAATGGAAAATAGGTTAAAGTCCAGCTTTTGTTGTCGATCATTAATGATGCCTATTGTGTTCTAAGGTCTTTATGCAAAATATTCTAAATCTTTTTAATATAATGATCAATGGTGGAACGCGCTACAACGGGAAAAAATAAATGTTAAATTCATAACTTGATAAAAGCTTACTCGAGTTAAAAAAAAAATAGTAAATAAATAAATAAATAAAATAAAAATCTAGAAATGAGGTAGAGACAAAAATTGAACGAGTGGTCTTCAATTAAATATGGGATAATGAATAAACCTTAATGATTCTTTTTAACATATTTGAATAATTCTTAAAAGCGCGTATCTCTTGTTACTCAGATGGTTTGGGAGAAAAACGATGGAAAAGTACCCATACTGAAGATAGATAGGTATTGTATGAAGAGGTGCATGACTTTGGGTTCTCATTAATGTTGCAAACACATAATTGCCAGCTAAAAATTAATTTAAATACGTTTTAAGCCTGTAGATAAATAAAGGGATGATATCATTTTTGTTGATTACGCTTCATTGATGAGAAACTGCCAGCTGTCAAAACCTACCTCGTTCGTTCGCGAGAAAATATTTTAAATTTGAATACTGAAATTGGTAGTCCTCTCAATATTAACAGGCGTTTCAGGAAAAAAAAAACAAAAACAAAAACAAAACAAAACAAAAAAAACAATTACGGAGGAAAAATTTTTCCACGAACCAAGGGAAACTACATGTAAATCATGCTTCTTTCAACAACCGCCATAGTGTTCGTTGTAATCGTTACACTTGAGGTAACCATCATCGTCACAGGAAACGTGTTCACCATTTTTGTTTTCTGGACCCAAAGACTCCGCTTGAAACGAACGTTTCTTCTCCTGATAAACCTCGCTGTGGCTGATTTACTTGTAGGACTAGGAGAAGCTCTGGTTCTCGCGGCTAACACAATTCCCAATGGTGGAAACGAAGAAGAGAAAATAGAAAGCCCTTGGTGGGCATTCCAAGTATTTGGCAGCAGTACCTCAGTGCTCTTTCTCGTTCTAATTTCGCTGGAACGTGTTTACTCCGTGCTGTGGCCATTTCGTCATCGTGTAACAAGTACTTGTGCTTACGTTTACAGCATTGTTATCGTCTGGGTAACTGGAGTTTGTATGAGTGGAGTGACGTTGTTAAAGATATATCTTATAGACGGTATGTATGCTGCTGCCACCTACGCTTCGGCTCTCTTTGTTTCTCTGCTGGTTATTTGTACAAGTTACCTAACGATCCGTTTGCGGTTGCAGAGTACAGCACCTATATCAGAATTCCAAAACCAAGCATCAAGAGAAAAATCGTTGCGAATGTCTAGGACAGTTTTCATAGTGGTCGCTGTATCGCTTGTCTTTTGGTTTCCCACTTTCGTTGTGATCACTATAAGAGACTTCTGTTCATGTTTCTCTCCGCTGGCGGTGTGGTTTGTGGTTGTTCTACAGCTTGGGAATTCCATGGTAAATCCATTTGTTTACAGCTTTAGGATGCCAATTTTTGAAGATGCTCTTAAGAAATGCTGGAGAAAGCGTCGACAAAATATTGAATTAAGACCTTTCCCGAGGAAACCGCACAATGCGGAGTGCAACTTGTGAAATATAGTACGAATTTTCAAAGGTTCGTGGCAGGCTCGATGGCCTAATACATGTAATTATCATATTAGTTTCCGATCGAGTAATGGAGTCATTGTCAGTGTTGTTTCTTTGGGCAAGGTACTCTCACAGAACTCACGGTGTCTCTGTCTCCCAAGGTAAACATGGATATCCGCCAAGCTGATGCTGGGGTCATCTCAGTGATGGATTAGCATGCTTTACCACCGAGACGGATTTATTTATCTTATTGTATAATAACTTGATTTCTTGCACACTTGACCGATATTTGCGTTTTTACCATAAGGAAATTCTTCATCAGTTTGCGAGAAAGAGGTGACGTTTAATTCATTAAAATATTGTAAAATTTAATTGAAGAGTGTTTTAGAATGAAAGCCGTAGTATGACTTATCGAATCTTTGTTGTTATAGTAAGTACAGTCCAAGTTTGCCGATGTTTCAAAGAAGGAAAGTTCTTCTTTAGAGACAAGTGTCCTATGTGTAATTTTTCAGCAAAATTCTATAAGTTTGTTCAGTCGATTTGCATATAATTTTCAGTTGCTTAAAACAGATTTTTTTTTTTTTTTTTTTTTTTCCAATAGATATCTTTTTGCTGAGAAATGACGTTAACATTTACTAACTGGGTTCTCCTTGCTAGTAACATACGTATACCACTGTGAAGTGGGTCAGGGGGGTATGAGATATGGTGGCTATCAATTCCTGTCTTCTCCTATGTGTGTTGGTTATCTATGCACAGTTAGGGCACAATTCGCACTCGATTGAGTCCTGCACTGCACATGGTCCACAACCGAAACTTAATTAAGTGAACGGAACTTAAGACTTTATCTTTAATTTACGAATAAAAAGCTATTACAGCTCATAACTACTTTTGCTCACGCGATGCATCAAAGGGCTTAAAGTAAATGTTAAGCTCTGAAACTTTGTACGTTTATGCTGGCATTTCACATTTATCTATTAAATATTGGTTCGTTTTAATCCAAATGGCGTTTGGCTTTTTTTTTTTCGGAAAGAAAAAAAAAAAACAAAAAACAAAAAAAACAAACAAAAAAATGAAATAGAGCTTTTATTGTTATACCGAAATTTTAAACAAGTATTTGTGAAAATTCGACATTTAAATCGCCATAGTACATGCCAAATAATTATTTGAACAGGATAACGTAAAAACGCAATATTTTATACCTTGATGTTTTTAAGCTCATTATGAAAAAACTGTTTAATTCTCCGTGATATGTTCATTCTTAATTATACCTTTTTGCGGAGATTACCTTCGGAATAATCGACGTGTATTTACTTACAGCTATCTGTGTCTAAACAAAAGACATCTCAAAAGGGAAATAGAAAATAGATTAACGTACAGCTTTTGTTGTCGATCATTAATGATGCCTATTGTGTTCTAAGGTCTTTATGCAAAATATTCTAAATCTTTTTAATATAATGATCAATGGTGGAACGCGCTATAACGGGAAAAAATAAATGTTAAATTCATAACTTGATAAAAGCTTACTCGAGTTAAAAAAAAAATAGTAAATAAATAAATAAATAAAATAAAAATCTAGAAATGAGGTAGAGACAAAAATTGAACGAGTGGTCTTCAATTAAATATGGGATAATGAATAAACCTTAATGATTCTTTTTAACATATTTGAATAATTCTTAAAAGCGCGTATCTCTTGTTACTCAGATGGTTTGGGAGAAAAACGATGGAAAAGTACCCATACTGAAGATAGATAGGTATTGTATGAAGAGGTGCATGACTTTGGGTTCTCATTAATGTTGCAAACACATAATTGCCAGCTAAAAATTAATTTAAATACGTTTTAAGCCTGTAGATAAATAAAGGGATGATATCATTTTTGTTGATTACGCTTCATTGATGAGAAACTGCCAGCTGTCAAAACCTACCTCGTTCGTTCGCGAGAAAATATTTTAAATTTGAATACTGAAATTGGTAGTCCTCTCAATATTAACAGGCGTTTCAGGAAAAAAAAAACAAAAACAAAAACAAAACAAAACAAAAAAAACAATTACGGAGGAAAAATTTTTCCACGAACCAAGGGAAACTACATGTAAATCATGCTTCTTTCAACAACCGCCATAGTGTTCGTTGTAATCGTTACACTTGAGGTAACCATCATCGTCACAGGAAACGTGTTCACCATTTTTGTTTTCTGGACCCAAAGACTCCGCTTGAAACGAACGTTTCTTCTCCTGATAAACCTCGCTGTGGCTGATTTACTTGTAGGACTAGGAGAAGCTCTGGTTCTCGCGGCTAACACAATTCCCAATGGTGGAAACGAAGAAGAGAAAATAGAAAGCCCTTGGTGGGCATTCCAAGTATTTGGCAGCAGTACCTCAGTGCTCTTTCTCGTTCTAATTTCGCTGGAACGTGTTTACTCCGTGCTGTGGCCATTTCGTCATCGTGTAACAAGTACTTGTGCTTACGTTTACAGCATTGTTATCGTCTGGGTAACTGGAGTTTGTATGAGTGGAGTGACGTTGTTAAAGATATATCTTATAGACGGTATGTATGCTGCTGCCACCTACGCTTCGGCTCTCTTTGTTTCTCTGCTGGTTATTTGTACAAGTTACCTAACGATCCGTTTGCGGTTGCAGAGTACAGCACCTATATCAGAATTCCAAAACCAAGCATCAAGAGAAAAATCGTTGCGAATGTCTAGGACAGTTTTCATAGTGGTCGCTGTATCGCTTGTCTTTTGGTTTCCCACTTTCGTTGTGATCACTATAAGAGACTTCTGTTCATGTTTCTCTCCGCTGGCGGTGTGGTTTGTGGTTGTTCTACAGCTTGGGAATTCCATGGTAAATCCATTTGTTTACAGCTTTAGGATGCCAATTTTTGAAGATGCTCTTAAGAAATGCTGGAGAAAGCGTCGACAAAATATTGAATTAAGACCTTTCCCGAGGAAACCGCACAATGCGGAGTGCAACTTGTGAAATATAGTACGAATTTTCAAAGGTTCGTGGCAGGCTCGATGGCCTAATACATGTAATTATCATATTAGTTTCCGATCGAGTAATGGAGTCATTGTCAGTGTTGTTTCTTTGGGCAAGGTACTCTCACAGAACTCACGGTGTCTCTGTCTCCCAAGGTAAACATGGATATCCGCCAAGCTGATGCTGGGGTCATCTCAGTGATGGATTAGCATGCTTTACCACCGAGACGGATTTATTTATCTTATTGTATAATAACTTGATTTCTTGCACACTTGACCGATATTTGCGTTTTTACCATAAGGAAATTCTTCATCAGTTTGCGAGAAAGAGGTGACGTTTAATTCATTAAAATATTGTAAAATTTAATTGAAGAGTGTTTTAGAATGAAAGCCGTAGTATGACTTATCGAATCTTTGTTGTTATAGTAAGTACAGTCCAAGTTTGCCGATGTTTCAAAGAAGGAAAGTTCTTCTTTAGAGACAAGTGTCCTATGTGTAATTTTTCAGCAAAATTCTATAAGTTTGTTCAGTCGATTTGCATATAATTTTCAGTTGCTTAAAACAGATTTTTTTTTTTTTTTTTTTTTTTCCAATAGATATCTTTTTGCTGAGAAATGACGTTAACATTTACTAACTGGGTTCTCCTTGCTAGTAACATACGTATACCACTGTGAAGTGGGTCAGGGGGGTATGAGATATGGTGGCTATCAATTCCTGTCTTCTCCTATGTGTGTTGGTTATCTATGCACAGTTAGGGCACAATTCGCACTCGATTGAGTCCTGCACTGCACATGGTCCACAACCGAAACTTAATTAAGTGAACGGAACTTAAGACTTTATCTTTAATTTACGAATAAAAAGCTATTACAGCTCATAACTACTTTTGCTCACGCGATGCATCAAAGGGCTTAAAGTAAATGTTAAGCTCTGAAACTTTGTACGTTTATGCTGGCATTTCACATTTATCTATTAAATATTGGTTCGTTTTAATCCAAATGGCGTTTGGCTTTTTTTTTTTCGGAAAGAAAAAAAAAAAACAAAAAACAAAAAAAACAAACAAAAAAATGAAATAGAGCTTTTATTGTTATACCGAAATTTTAAACAAGTATTTGTGAAAATTCGACATTTAAATCGCCATAGTACATGCCAAATAATTATTTGAACAGGATAACGTAAAAACGCAATATTTTATACCTTGATGTTTTTAAGCTCATTATGAAAAAACTGTTTAATTCTCCGTGATATGTTCATTCTTAATTATACCTTTTTGCGGAGATTACCTTCGGAATAATCGACGTGTATTTACTTACAGCTATCTGTGTCTAAACAAAAGACATCTCAAAAGGGAAATAGAAAATAGATTAACGTACAGCTTTTGTTGTCGATCATTAATGATGCCTATTGTGTTCTAAGGTCTTTATGCAAAATATTCTAAATCTTTTTAATATAATGATCAATGGTGGAACGCGCTATAACGGGAAAAAATAAATGTTAAATTCATAACTTGATAAAAGCTTACTCGAGTTAAAAAAAAAATAGTAAATAAATAAATAAATAAAATAAAAATCTAGAAATGAGGTAGAGACAAAAATTGAACGAGTGGTCTTCAATTAAATATGGGATAATGAATAAACCTTAATGATTCTTTTTAACATATTTGAATAATTCTTAAAAGCGCGTATCTCTTGTTACTCAGATGGTTTGGGAGAAAAACGATGGAAAAGTACCCATACTGAAGATAGATAGGTATTGTATGAAGAGGTGCATGACTTTGGGTTCTCATTAATGTTGCAAACACATAATTGCCAGCTAAAAATTAATTTAAATACGTTTTAAGCCTGTAGATAAATAAAGGGATGATATCATTTTTGTTGATTACGCTTCATTGATGAGAAACTGCCAGCTGTCAAAACCTACCTCGTTCGTTCGCGAGAAAATATTTTAAATTTGAATACTGAAATTGGTAGTCCTCTCAATATTAACAGGCGTTTCAGGAAAAAAAAAACAAAAACAAAAACAAAACAAAACAAAAAAAACAATTACGGAGGAAAAATTTTTCCACGAACCAAGGGAAACTACATGTAAATCATGCTTCTTTCAACAACCGCCATAGTGTTCGTTGTAATCGTTACACTTGAGGTAACCATCATCGTCACAGGAAACGTGTTCACCATTTTTGTTTTCTGGACCCAAAGACTCCGCTTGAAACGAACGTTTCTTCTCCTGATAAACCTCGCTGTGGCTGATTTACTTGTAGGACTAGGAGAAGCTCTGGTTCTCGCGGCTAACACAATTCCCAATGGTGGAAACGAAGAAGAGAAAATAGAAAGCCCTTGGTGGGCATTCCAAGTATTTGGCAGCAGTACCTCAGTGCTCTTTCTCGTTCTAATTTCACTGGAACGTGTTTACTCCGTGCTGTGGCCATTTCGTCATCGTGTAACAAGTACTTGTGCTTACGTTTACAGCATTGTTATTGTCTGGGTAACTGGAGTTTGTATGAGTGGAGTGACGTTGTTAAAGATATATCTTATAGACGGTATGTATGCTGCTGCCACCTACGCTTCGGCTCTCTTTGTTTCTCTGCTGGTTATTTGTACAAGTTACCTAACGATCCGTTTGCGGTTGCAGAGTACAGCACCTATATCAGAATTCCAAAACCAAGCATCAAGAGAAAAATCGTTGCGAATGTCTAGGACAGTTTTCATAGTGGTCGCTGTATCGCTTGTCTTTTGGTTTCCCACTTTCGTTGTGATCACTATAAGAGACTTCTGTTCATGTTTCTCTCCGCTGGCGGTGTGGTTTGTGGTTGTTCTACAGCTTGGGAATTCCATGGTAAATCCATTTGTTTACAGCTTTAGGATGCCAATTTTTGAAGATGCTCTTAAGAAATGCTGGAGAAAGCGTCGACAAAATATTGAATTAAGACCTTTCCCGAGGAAACCGCACAATGCGGAGTGCAACTTGTGAAATATAGTACGAATTTTCAAAGGTTCGTGGCAGGCTCGATGGCCTAATACATGTAATTATCATATTAGTTTCCGATCGAGTAATGGAGTCATTGTCAGTGTTGTTTCTTTGGGCAAGGTACTCTCACAGAACTCACGGTGTCTCTGTCTCCCAAGGTAAACATGGATATCCGCCAAGCTGATGCTGGGGTCATCTCAGTGATGGATTAGCATGCTTTACCACCGAGACGGATTTATTTATCTTATTGTATAATAACTTGATTTCTTGCACACTTGACCGATATTTGCGTTTTTACCATAAGGAAATTCTTCATCAGTTTGCGAGAAAGAGGTGACGTTTAAATCATTAAAATATTGTAAAATTTAATTGAAGAGTGTTTTAGAATGAAAGCCGTAGTATGACTTATCGAATCTTTGTTGTTATAGTAAGTACAGTCCAAGTTTGCCGATGTTTCAAAGAAGGAAAGTTCTTCTTTAGAGACAAGTGTCCTATGTGTAATTTTTCAGCAAAATTCTATAAGTTTGTTCAGTCGATTTGCATATAATTTTCAGTTGCTTAAAACAGATTTTTTTTTTTTTTTTTTTTTTTNAAAGAGGTGACGTTTAATTCATTAAAATATTGTAAAATTTAATTGAAGAGTGTTTTAGAATGAAAGCCGTAGTATGACTTATCGAATCTTTGTTGTTAGAGTAAGTACAGTCCAAGTTTGCCGATATTTCAAAGAAGGAAAGTTCTTCTTTAGAGACAAGTGTCCTCTGTGTAATTTTTTAGTAAAATTCTATAAGTTTGTACAGTCGATTTGCATATAATTTTCAGTTGCTTAAAACAGATTTTTTTTTTTCCAATAGATATCTTTTTGCTGAGAGATGACGTTAACATTTACTAACTGGGTTCTCCTTGTTAGTAACATACCACTGTGAAGTGGGTTAGGAGGGTATGAGATATGGTGGCTATCAATTCCTGTCTTCTCCTATGTGTGTTGGTTATCTATGCACAGTTAGGGCACAATTCGCACTCGATTGAGTCCTGCACTGCACATGGTCCACAACCGAAACTTAATTAAGTGAACGGAACTTAAGACTTTATCTTTAATTTACGAATAAAAAGCTATTTCAGCTCATAACTACTTTTGCTCACGCGATGCATCAAAGGGCTAAAAGTAAATGTTAAGCCCTGAAGCTTTGTACGTTTATGTTGGCATTTCACATTTACCTATTAAATATTGGTTCGTTTTAATCCAAATGGCGTTTGGCTTTTTTTTTTTCGGAAAGAAAAAAAAAAAACAAAAAACAAAAAAAACAAACAAAAAAATGAAATAGAGCTTTTATTGTTATACCGAAATTTTAAACAAGTATTTGTGAAAATTCGACATTTAAATCGCCATAGTACATGCCAAATAATTATTTGAACAGGATAACGTAAAAACGCAATATTTTATACCTTGATGTTTTTAAGCTCATTATGAAAAAACTGTTTAATTCTCCGTGATATGTTCATTCTTAATTATACCTTTTTGCGGAGATTACCTTCGGAATAATCGACGTGTATTTACTTACAGCTATCTGTGTCTAAACAAAAGACATCTCAAAAGGGAAATAGAAAATAGATTAACGTACAGCTTTTGTTGTCGATCATTAATGATGCCTATTGTGTTCTAAGGTCTTTATGCAAAATATTCTAAATCTTTTTAATATAATGATCAATGGTGGAACGCGCTATAACGGGAAAAAATAAATGTTAAATTCATAACTTGATAAAAGCTTACTCGAGTTAAAAAAAAAATAGTAAATAAATAAATAAATAAAATAAAAATCTAGAAATGAGGTAGAGACAAAAATTGAACGAGTGGTCTTCAATTAAATATGGGATAATGAATAAACCTTAATGATTCTTTTTAACATATTTGAATAATTCTTAAAAGCGCGTATCTCTTGTTACTCAGATGGTTTGGGAGAAAAACGATGGAAAAGTACCCATACTGAAGATAGATAGGTATTGTATGAAGAGGTGCATGACTTTGGGTTCTCATTAATGTTGCAAACACATAATTGCCAGCTAAAAATTAATTTAAATACGTTTTAAGCCTGTAGATAAATAAAGGGATGATATCATTTTTGTTGATTACGCTTCATTGATGAGAAACTGCCAGCTGTCAAAACCTACCTCGTTCGTTCGCGAGAAAATATTTTAAATTTGAATACTGAAATTGGTAGTCCTCTCAATATTAACAGGCGTTTCAGGAAAAAAAAAACAAAAACAAAAACAAAACAAAACAAAAAAAACAATTACGGAGGAAAAATTTTTCCACGAACCAAGGGAAACTACATGTAAATCATGCTTCTTTCAACAACCGCCATAGTGTTCGTTGTAATCGTTACACTTGAGGTAACCATCATCGTCACAGGAAACGTGTTCACCATTTTTGTTTTCTGGACCCAAAGACTCCGCTTGAAACGAACGTTTCTTCTCCTGATAAACCTCGCTGTGGCTGATTTACTTGTAGGACTAGGAGAAGCTCTGGTTCTCGCGGCTAACACAATTCCCAATGGTGGAAACGAAGAAGAGAAAATAGAAAGCCCTTGGTGGGCATTCCAAGTATTTGGCAGCAGTACCTCAGTGCTCTTTCTCGTTCTAATTTCGCTGGAACGTGTTTACTCCGTGCTGTGGCCATTTCGTCATCGTGTAACAAGTACTTGTGCTTACGTTTACAGCATTGTTATCGTCTGGGTAACTGGAGTTTGTATGAGTGGAGTGACGTTGTTAAAGATATATCTTATAGACGGTATGTATGCTGCTGCCACCTACGCTTCGGCTCTCTTTGTTTCTCTGCTGGTTATTTGTACAAGTTACCTAACGATCCGTTTGCGGTTGCAGAGTACAGCACCTATATCAGAATTCCAAAACCAAGCATCAAGAGAAAAATCGTTGCGAATGTCTAGGACAGTTTTCATAGTGGTCGCTGTATCGCTTGTCTTTTGGTTTCCCACTTTCGTTGTGATCACTATAAGAGACTTCTGTTCATGTTTCTCTCCGCTGGCGGTGTGGTTTGTGGTTGTTCTACAGCTTGGGAATTCCATGGTAAATCCATTTGTTTACAGCTTTAGGATGCCAATTTTTGAAGATGCTCTTAAGAAATGCTGGAGAAAGCGTCGACAAAATATTGAATTAAGACCTTTCCCGAGGAAACCGCACAATGCGGAGTGCAACTTGTGAAATATAGTACGAATTTTCAAAGGTTCGTGGCAGGCTCGATGGCCTAATACATGTAATTATCATATTAGTTTCCGATCGAGTAATGGAGTCATTGTCAGTGTTGTTTCTTTGGGCAAGGTACTCTCACAGAACTCACGGTGTCTCTGTCTCCCAAGGTAAACATGGATATCCGCCAAGCTGATGCTGGGGTCATCTCAGTGATGGATTAGCATGCTTTACCACCGAGACGGATTTATTTATCTTATTGTATAATAACTTGATTTCTTGCACACTTGACCGATATTTGCGTTTTTACCATAAGGAAATTCTTCATCAGTTTGCGAGAAAGAGGTGACGTTTAATTCATTAAAATATTGTAAAATTTAATTGAAGAGTGTTTTAGAATGAAAGCCGTAGTATGACTTATCGAATCTTTGTTGTTATAGTAAGTACAGTCCAAGTTTGCCGATGTTTCAAAGAAGGAAAGTTCTTCTTTAGAGACAAGTGTCCTATGTGTAATTTTTCAGCAAAATTCTATAAGTTTGTTCAGTCGATTTGCATATAATTTTCAGTTGCTTAAAACAGATTTTTTTTTTTTTTTTTTTTTTTCCAATAGATATCTTTTTGCTGAGAAATGACGTTAACATTTACTAACTGGGTTCTCCTTGCTAGTAACATACGTATACCACTGTGAAGTGGGTCAGGGGGGTATGAGATATGGTGGCTATCAATTCCTGTCTTCTCCTATGTGTGTTGGTTATCTATGCACAGTTAGGGCACAATTCGCACTCGATTGAGTCCTGCACTGCACATGGTCCACAACCGAAACTTAATTAAGTGAACGGAACTTAAGACTTTATCTTTAATTTACGAATAAAAAGCTATTACAGCTCATAACTACTTTTGCTCACGCGATGCATCAAAGGGCTTAAAGTAAATGTTAAGCTCTGAAACTTTGTACGTTTATGCTGGCATTTCACATTTATCTATTAAATATTGGTTCGTTTTAATCCAAATGGCGTTTGGCTTTTTTTTTTTCGGAAAGAAAAAAAAAAAACAAAAAACAAAAAAAACAAACAAAAAAATGAAATAGAGCTTTTATTGTTATACCGAAATTTTAAACAAGTATTTGTGAAAATTCGACATTTAAATCGCCATAGTACATGCCAAATAATTATTTGAACAGGATAACGTAAAAACGCAATATTTTATACCTTGATGTTTTTAAGCTCATTATGAAAAAACTGTTTAATTCTCCGTGATATGTTCATTCTTAATTATACCTTTTTGCGGAGATTACCTTCGGAATAATCGACGTGTATTTACTTACAGCTATCTGTGTCTAAACAAAAGACATCTCAAAAGGCAAATAGAAAATAGATTAACGTACAGCTTTTGTTGTCGATCATTAATGATGCCTATTGTGTTCTGAGGTCTTTATGCAAAATATTCTGAATCTTTTTAATATAATGATCAATGGTGGAACGCGCTACAACGGGAAAAAAATAAATGTTAAATTCATAACTTGATATAAGCATACTCGAATTAAAAATAAAATAAAATAAAATAAATAAATAAAATAAAAATGGAGAAATGAGGCAGAGATAAAAATTGAACGAGTGGTCTTCAAGTAAATATGGGATAACGAATAAACCTTAATTATTCTCTTTTAACATATTTTAATAATTCTTAAAAGCGCGCATCTCTTGTAACTCAGATGGTTTGGGACAATAACGATTGAAAAGTAGCCATACTAAAGATAAATAGGTATTGTATGTTTCATTCACCGAAATTACAACAAGTGGTGTATGACTTTCGGTTTCATTAATGTTGCAAACACATAATTGCAAGCTAAAAATTAATTTAAATACGTTTTAACCGCGTAGATCAGTAAATAAAGGGATGGTATCATTTTTGTTAATCACGCTTGACTGATGACAAACTGCCAGCTGTCAAAACCTACCTCGTTCGTTCGTGAGAAAAATATTTTAATTTTGACTACTGAGATTGGTAGTCCCCTTAAAAATAACAGGTGTTTCAGGGGAAAAAAAAAAACGAAATACGGAGCATACATCCTTCCACGAAGCAAGGAAAACTAAATCGTGCTTCTTTCAACGACTGCCGCTGTGTTCGTTCTAATCGTTACACTCGAGGTAACCATCATCGTCACGGGAAACGTGCTCACAATTTTGTTTTCTGGACCCAGAGACTCCGTTTGAAACGAACGTTTCTTCTCCTGATCAACCTTGCTTTGACGGATTTACTTGTAGGACTAGGAGAAGCTCTGGTTCTCGCGGCTAACACAATTCCCAATGGTGGAAACGAAGAAGAGAAAATAGAAAGTCCTTGGTGGGCATTCCAAGTATTTGGTAGCAGTACCTCAGTGCCTATTCTCGTTCTAATTTCGCTGGAACGTGTTTACTCGTGCTGTGGCCATTTCGTCATCGTGTAATAAGTACTCGTGCTGACGTTTACAGCATTGTTATCGTCTGGGTAACTGGAGTTTGTATGAGTGGAGTGACGTTGTTGGAGATATATCTTATAGACAGCATGTATGCTGCTGCCACCTACGCTTCGGCTCTCTTTGTTTCTCTGCTGGTTATCTGTGCAAGTTACCTAACGATTCGTTTACGATTGCAGAGTACAGCACCTGTATCAGACTTCCAAAACCAAGCAACAAGAGAAAAATCGTTGCGTCCTTTGGTTTCCCGCTTTCGTTATGATCACAACAAGAGACTTCTGTTCATGTTTCTCTTCGCTGGCGGTGTGGTTTGTGATTGTTCTACAGCTTGGGAATTCCATGGTAAATCCATTTGTTTCCAGCTTTAGAATGCCAAGTTTTGAAGATGCTCTTAAGAAATGCTGGAGAAAGCGTCGACAAAATATTGAAATAAGACCTTTCCCGAGGAAACCGCACAATGCGGAGTGCAGCTTGTGAAATATAGTACGACTTTTCAGAGGTTCGTGGCAGCTTGGGAATTCCATGGTAAATCCATCTGTGTACAGCTTAAGGATGCCAATTTTTCAAAATGCTCTGAAAAAATGCCGGAGAAAGCGTCCGCAAAATATCGAATTAAGAGCTTTCTCGAGGAAATTGCAGAATGCGGAGCGCAATTTGTGAAATATAGTACGACTTTTCAGAGGCTCGTGGCAGGCTCGATGGCTGTGTTAGTCTCCGATCAACCAGTGGGGTCATTGGTGATGTTTGTTTGGGCATGCATGTGCACTCTCACAGTGTCTCTTTTTCCCAAGGTAAAAATCCGCAAGTTAATGTGGGGTCAACTTAGTGATGGACTAACATGCTTTACCATCCAGGCGGGGTATTTATTTTATTGCGTAATAACTTGATTTCTTTCATACTTGACCGGTATTTACGTTTTTACCAAAAGGAAATTCTTCATCACTTTGCGCTAAAGGAGTTTTTAGAATGAAAGTATGACTTATCGAATATTGCTAGACACAGTAAGTACAGTCCGAGTTAGCCGATATTCCAAAGAAGTAAAGTTCTTCTTTGGCGAGAAGTGCCCTGTATGTAAGTTTGTAGTTATGTTTGTTCACTTTGAAGATAAATTTAAGTTGCTTAAAATATATTTTTTCCAAAGTTGCTTAAAATAAATATTTTTTTTTTCCAATAGATATCTTTTGCTGATAGATCTCGTTAACATGTACTAACTGAGTTCTCCTTGCTAGAAACATACCACAGTGAAGTGGGCAGGGTTTATATTATGGTGGTTATCAATTCCTGCCTTTTCCTATCTGTGTTGGTTATCTATGCAAGTTACGGCACGATGCGCACTCGATTGAGTCCTTTACTGCGCCTGATACACAACCGAAACTTAAGTGAAAAGAAGTAACTTAATAGTTATTTCATCAAATAAATAAGTAATTAATTGACAAAAAATAATAACTAATTCATTAATATGTTTGTAAGCTATAAAAGTCATTAGGTTTAGCTACAAAGATGTATATTAAAAACCTTTCTTAAATTTCTCAAGGTAATATCCAGTGTAGGTTAAGTAGCCAATATGAACTAATCAGGAGTACCACAACATCAGAAAGCAGCTGAATAAATCACAAATTCAGTTTATCCGTAAAGTGGGGCAATTGGAATGTAAAGAAATTAGCTACTCTTCTACCCTGTCCTACCCTATCCTATCATATCCTTGCATACGTTTTTTTTTGTTTTTGTTTTTTTTTCCCGCAATCTTGCTGAGCTGAACGGATTTGGAAGCACGTAATAGATAGAGGATATTACACGGTGGGGAGAAGATATAAATTTTATGTTCGACTGGCAAGAACAATATCTGAGATATTGTTCTTGCACGAGAACATAAAATTCATATCTTCGAGCTAACGAGTAAAGTTTTTTTTTATTGCATAGACATACTGATGACGGCGTTTTTGACGATTTTCACAAGACTTCCGAACACTATCCGATAATTTCCGACGATTTCCCAAAACTTGACCGAAGGTCACCCTTACGTTGTCGAATATTTTCCGAAAAATTTTGAAGAGTACCGAGGACCTCCGAAGATTACCAAGTGTTGCCGAAGAACCGGCTTCACTAGAGACAGATTTATCGGAGAAAACATTCGTTTAATGGACAGCATCATCAAATTTTCAGAAGCAAACAATATGCCGGGACTGCTCCTTTTTCTTGATTTCGAAAAAGCCTTTGATACCCTAGAGTGGCCCTTTATTCGTGAAACCTTCCAATACTTTGGTTTCGGCCCATCATTGCTGAACTAGTTAAAAGTATTTTACTGCAATAGGGAAAGCTGTATTTTAAACAATGGATGGGCAAGCAATTTCTTTGAGCTCAAGCGGAGAGTTAAGTAAGGTTGCCCTCTGTCACCGTATCTATTCATTCTCTCTGTAGAAGTACTCGCTAATGCAATTCGCCAAAAAAAAAAAAAAAAAAAAAA